TTTAACAAGAGCGCCAATATCATTGCCGCTCTTATTACGGTTCCGTATGTGAAACTTGACATACTTAGTCGAGCCAGGCTCCATCGCTGTGACACGGCAGGATTTTATACATTCCCATAGCAATGTAGAGTGACCGAATCGAAAGGGAACGCTCTCGGTTACTCACGTAACCTTGGTTCCCTGAGATGAGGGAACGAGACATTGCTCTTATTGCCGTGTCACCTAGCTCAGAATCTTAGAATGCCAAGTTGCTTCAGTCAAGATTCTGAATAGATGATGTACAAGCGCTGCTTTATATAGAGAGGGAGCCCCTCATATTTAGCGCGCTTGAACGCCATTGGCCAGTTTCACTGGCGTGATTCAATAAGGCTTCAGTAGTATTTGGAGGAAAGGGTAATTCCCATAGCAATGTCTCATTCCCTCATCTCAGGGAACTGAGGTTATGTGAGTAACCGAGAGCGTTTTCCGTTTCAGAATGGAAGGTTTGTCATACCCGAGAAAGCAGGGTAAGTACAAGCCCGTTTCTGAAAGAGAGGTAGGCCTAACTTATCATCAGTTACCATGGTAACTTTCACTGTAAACCTAACCAGCCGGGAGCAGGTTTTCTTCGTTAAACCCAGAGTTTCTTTCGGGCTCCTCCCCCTAACTAAGTAAGAAAATCATTTTTTGCAGTGCAGGTACATTCATTCATTGCACTGTCTTTAACTGAAAAATTAGTGTTTACTATTGTCATTTTGCATTATTGACACACTATTTTCCTAATTAATGCTGTTCAGTTGCTTTGACACAATCTGTATTGTTAAAAGCACTATATAAATAAAGGTGACTTGACTTGACTTGACATATTTTCATCATGCAGACACTCTGAAAGTGACAAAAACAGCATGTCCTTTTACACTGAATCCTGTAGATGAGGAGGCTATATTAATTCGTAGAGAGATACATTTACATCAGGAGAGGATTTTTTTTTTTTGCCATATTCGAAAATAGCCTATATATGAGTGAATTTCACTATGGTTGATCAATGTCTTTCGTTTCGCTAGCCTATAATGTAAGGTGTTTTTTCACTTCAGTAATGTGTATGAATGAATTTTACCAAGGTTGATCAATGTTTTTCGTTTCACTGTTTGTAAGAGGCTTTTCAATAATTATGGCCTATTCGGCCCCTCATAGTTGACGAGCGGCAGTAACGTTTGTAAGCAGACTTTTTCAGCTGCATAAAACTAAACAGGGTTGAAACCTGTTTAAATATGTTCACCATGGTCCATTTATGTACATAATAATGAATAATAAAATAAACTACACTGAAAAAAATATGAACATAGCAGGTCTTTGAAATTACAAAAATGAAACGTATGTACAACACAATTCATTTATATTTCTGTTGTGAACATGCTTTAATCAAGTAGATTTCAATTGTTCATATGGAGTGTTGTATGTACACATTTATCTCACGTTAATTGAAATCAAAAACTGAAATCAATCTAATTGAGTTTTGACACAACCGGGGCACTCTGGAGCAGATGCATAATTGAGAGGGATGACAAACTACCATAAAAGGAGAAATTGAATCGAGCACCAAAAACTGTGAAAGATTCAGTAGCTGAGCCAGCAGTCGCCTCATCTCAGACGAACAACGTTTACTGAAAAGTAAATTCAGCAAATTGTTTTATATTTGTTTTCAAATAGGCGATATTTCCTATCGCAATATAGGCGATTCGTAGTGTATAACTGTTGTAGAGTGACAATGAAGTGTCAGTTGTTGTGATGACCTGCAGAGGGCAGGCTAAGGCTGTTGGTATTTGCTTAAAAAGCAGCAGAGAAGAACTTAGTGCGTGTGTAAATTTTACTCCACCTGTGATGTAATTGAGTGTACTGCTGGTTGATGCATTCTGCTGAGTAAATGCAATCTTGAACAGATCTCATGCCTCCTCAAGGCGACGAGGATAAGCAAAGGGGAGTACTTTGAGGACGAAAGGTGAAAAAACTGTATCTCTATGAGTTGGAGCTTTGGAAAAGATGACCAATCTGGTAGGAACAGTCACACCATTTGATAGTCAGTCCCAGTCTTGGGAAGAATATTGTGAAATATTGCAACATTTCTTCAAGGCAAATTAGATTACAGAAGTAGCCAAGCAGAAAGCTATATTGTTGAGCTCTGTGGGAAGTCAAACATACAGTCTACTAAGAAATTTATTAAGCCCAGTTAAACCAGGCTCAAAGACGTTTGATGAATTAGTGGACTTACTTAAAGAGCATATCTACCCAAAGCCAAGTGAAATTGTACAATGATATAAATTAAATTCAAGATGAAGAGAAGAGGGGGAAACTGCTTGATTATGTAGCAGTATTGAGGAAATTGGCCCATGATTGTAATTATGGAGAAAAACTGACAGAAATGCTTCGTGACAGACTGGTATGTGGTATGAATGATGACCGTATTCAACGTAGACTATTGGCAGAAACTGATTTAACATTTGAGAAGGCATTGAAAATAGCCCAAGCAATGGAAACCGCCAATAAAGATGTGAGAGGTTTGCAAGCTCAATGCCCAGAAACATCCGTTTCAGTGAGAGTGCATAAAACATCAGTAAAGCAAGATGATGGTCAAAGTAGAGCATGTTACAGATGCGTAAGTTTGCAACATTTCGCTAACGAATGTAGATTTGCTTCTGAGAAATGTCATAAATGTGGAAAACAAGGACACATAATGAAAGTATGTAGATCAAAAACTTCCCTTGGGGAATCCAACTTCCAAGGGGGAGGAAGACGTAAAAGAGGAGGACAAAGAATGCATTATGTGAGCAGAGATGAAAAAAGTGCATCTGCATCTGATGAAGGTGGTATTTTTACAGTGTACAGTTTGCAAGAAACAGAAATTCTGAAAGTAGCTCCACTGACCATCACATTGGCTGTTAATGAGTCAAATGCACAGTTTGAAGTGGATACAGGATGTGCTGTGACAATAATGAATAGGTCAAACTTTGTCAAATTGTGGGAAACAGATAAAATTCCTGAATTAAAGACCTGTTCTTTGAATTTAAAGACCTATACTGGCCAAGCTCTAACCGTGTTGGGTTCTGCACAAGTAGAAGTCCGATACAAAGGCACAGTGAAGGAGTTAACGGTAGTGGTAGTACCCGGAACAGGACCCAATTTATTGGGCAGAGGATGGATTAAGGAATTGGGCATGGAATGGCAGGCCCTACATAGGATGCAAGGGGTGAAAATTTTAACTTTGCCTGAAGTCCTCAGCCAACATGAAGAATTGTTTAAAGAGGAGTTGGGGGAATTGAAGGGTCCACCAGTGAAGATTTATGTAGATAAGGAAGCAGTCCCAAGGTTTTTCAAAGCCCGACCGGTCCCTTATGCAATGAAGGCAAAGGTTGAAGTTGAAATAAAACACCTGTTAAGAGAACACATCATAGAACCTGTTAAGCACTCTGAATGGGCTGCACCTGTAGTACCTGATAATACCGTATGTCTATGTGGGGACTACAAGCTAATGGTAAACAGAGTTTCAAAGTTGGAACAGTACCCCATTCCTCGGATATAGGATTTGTTTGCAACTTTATCGGGTGGACAGAAGTTCACAAAATTGGATATGAGCCATGCTTATCATCAGATTGCATTAGATGCAGAGTCCAGGAAATATGTTACCGTGAATATATAAATACCGTTACAAAGGGCTGTTTACTTACCGTGTTTTACCTTTTGGAGTCTCTTCTAGCCCCGCCATCTTCCAACGAACCATTGAGGGGGTACTGCAAGGTCTTCCGCATGTGGCAGTTTTCCTTGATGATATCCTGGTAACCAGCCGTAATGATGAAGAGCATCTCCAAACTCTTGCTAGAGTATTGGATAGATTTCAGGAAGCAGGGCTGAGGTTGAAATGGAGTAACTGTACCTTCATGGAAAAAGAGGTAATGTTCTTGGGTCATAAAGTGGATGAGACAGGCCTCCATCCCGCACCAGAAAAGGTGACGGCTATTCAAAATGCTCCCTCACCAAAGACTGTAACAGAATGGAAGGCTTATTTAGGACTTTTAAATTATTACAATAAGTTCTTGCCCAACCTGTCTACTGTTTTAGCCCCTGTGCACAAGTTGCTGCGAAAAGATGCAAAATTGAACTGGGGCGGGGAACAAGAAGCTGCTTTTGCTCAGTCTAAAAAAATGATTCACTCCATACAAGTTCTGGTCCATTATGACCCCCAGAAGGATGTGATTTTATCATGTGATGCTTCTCCTTATGGCTTAGGTGCAGTTATTTCGCATAAGATGCCTGATGGAAGTGAAAGACCCATAGGATTTATGTCACGAACATTGAATCAAGCTGAGCGGAATTATTCGCAGTTGGACAAAGAAGGGTTGGCTGTAATATTTGGCTTACAGCGCTTCCATAAGTATTTGTATGGTCGAAAATTTACAATCGTTACTGACCACAAACCCTTGTTGTCTTTATTTAACGAGTTAAAAGCTGTTCCCCAAATGTCCTCTCCTAGAATCCAGCGATGGGCTGTGACGAGATTTTCTATCACAGCCGCACAAACATGAAGCTCGCACATGCAGAGAGGTGCGTTTGACCGCGCACGAACACCGAACTGAACCATCTTTCCTATCTCATTCACTCTTTGCCTTTGAACAGATGCATATACACATAAAATTATGACAAAATACTGATCTCGACAATCATAGTGGCAAATGCAGTCTGTTGAGTCTTAAGTGAACGAGAACAGCTGAGAAAGAAATCGGATGTACCTGTAATTTGTGTAGCCTATTTGTTCTTATTTTTACTGGCTGTTCACTTGGCCAGCTATCCAGTGCGTTGTGATTGGCTGAATACCTCAAGCATGTGATGGAAATGTTACGCCCCTTACCATACTGTGAGAATAAACATAAAACCATGACTGCATTTGTGATCGGAGAAATGACAAACAACAAGCACTACTCTACACTGCTCAAAACTCGCGTTAGAATCATCAGTGGCAAATCCTTTAAATTAGGGCTGCGCGTTAAATATCGCATGCGATTTATCATGCAGCCCTACTTTAAATATGAAAACGTACAGCCTGTGAGTCAGAACAGCTGGCATTGTAGTCTACTCTCTACACACTATGCGCTGCACACATCTGAATATTTGGGTTGAACTGTTCTGGAGCAGTGTTGTAAATACAACTTAACCACTGATTTCTAGTTGTGTCCTCTTTTGGAAGGCCAAACAAAGTAGTTTTGCTTTCACAACGAAACACATAGCGTCACACATGGCGGGCTTGAGTGAGCGGCAGCCGGCGGGCTAGAGTGAGGACATTATCTTCCCACATAGTGACGTAGGTATGTGGGGGCGTGTTAGAACGAAGCAGTTTTAGGTAGGCGTGGTTGACTCTTCGATCCGTGGCTCAAAAACCGTAATATGATCCGAACCGTGAGATTTATGATCCGTTGAACCACTAGTTTTCAGTTGTTCCCAAAGATTGCTTTTAATTAAACTTTTGTGCGATCTATCTACTCACTACTGTGACTAAAGAGCTTATACATACTGGTGGATTAACCATTACCGAAACATATAAAATTATTTTGGTAATAATCATCAATGCTGTTGCGCACAGGAAGTGGCCAGCGTGTGGTTTTTCCCAGCAGGAAGAGCGACGTAGCACAAACGCGGTTGATTGTGAATCCAGGAATGGCCACTGAAGCCAAAGCCTGCCAGACGAACGTGTCGACCACAGCGACGGCCACCCGCCCCGCCTTTCCATGATCCTCAGCGTGAGCCTGCAGACACAAACCAGCCGAACCATCATGAAGAGCAAGACGAGAAGATGACAGACTGACTGATTCAGACTGATCCAGACTCACCGCAGCTGCTTTCCTGCCTTTGTCCAGCGCGTCAGCAGACACGTATGCAGTGGCCACGGCGTAACTGGCCCACACCGCACTGACCGGCACCAATGCGCGAAACGCCTCGCCCACCTCGTTAGCATAGCCTGCGGATGCACATGTCAGACACACACTTACATTAATGATGTTAAACTTCAAAACCTCTTATCAATCACACAGAGCTGATGGACTAAACTCAGCAGCATCTGTGTGGATCAACTGTGGATCGTTTATCATTGCTTTGACACAAAATACAGTCAGTGACTACAGCTTTAAATGACATGAACTCTTTTCTCACTCAAACACCAGCAAAACTCAATGAACCTACAGGACAATTTGCAAGATTACAAGCTCTTTACAAAACTGCATTATGCAGAACTGAATAAGAAATTTGCTACCTTTCTACAGTAATACCATATTGAGATATATTCCAAATCTAAAATATGAAATGAAATACTATCAAAACCATCAGATATAAATGAACTCATATACACAGTGTTGGTCTTTCAATCTCATTATCATTTACTCAAAAGGGGCAACTCAGGAATCATGTTGTGCTGTAATGAAAACATGTGAAACATTTACTGCAGTCAATCTGAACTGTAGAGAGAGTCATTTTATATTGTTTTATGAAGATAATTTACAGAGGAAATCATTGTGCAATTCTGCCTGTCCTTAAGAGTTTTTATGTCACTGTTTCATGAGTGATAAAGAGTGTTTTTGGGTGAAAATCTTCACTAGTGTTATGATGAATGAGTTGATTTGAGATCAAATAAAGTGTTTTTAGTGCATTTTGAATGCAAAATGAACTGTTGTGTCAAACTGAAAGTTGGTTAGGAGAACTGTGGGAAGAGTTTAGAAAAAGCGAGCTAACTATTGAGAAATGTGTCCTAGCAGATGTAAAAAAAAAAAAAAAAAATGTAAAAGATTTCAGTCAGACTAAAGCAATAATGTGTCTTCTAAAATGTGATGTAAACATTTTATTGAGACTGAAGTCCAAACCCGACTGTAGCTTAAGTTTCATCCAGCACATAAATCTGTTAATATTATATTTAAAAGACTATTTGTCTTTAAAACGGACATGACTGCGCAATATTAATGTGCTAGAACATATTAAAAAAGGTCAACAATGGAAATAAATACTAGAATTTTGTACAAAATAGGTTTTCCAAAATATCTGCAGGGTTTCTTGTTATGAGCTGTTTGCATGCTGATGTTTTCTGCTAGTTTGTTTGGGTACTTTTACTACGTACAGTGAAAAACTACAACAAAATCTTGCAAATTGTACAAATCCAGATTATAGAAAGACTTTTGTATTGAGTATGCAAGTTAGTTCTGATCCCTTTGACTGAGAGGCGCCTCATAAGTGCCGATATCTCATACAGGTGCATCTCAATAAATTAGAATGTCGTGGAAAAGTTCATTTCAGTAATTCAACTCAAATTGTGAAACTCGTGTATTAAATAAATTCAATGTACACAGACTGAAGTAGTGTAAGTCTTTGGTTCTTTTAATTGTGATGATTTTGGCTCACATTTAACAAAAACCCACCAATTCACTATCTCAACAAATTAGAATACTTCATAAGACCAATAAAAAAAAATATTTTTAGTGAATTGTTGGCCTTCTGGAAAGTATGTTCATTTACTGTACATGTACTCAATACTTGGTAGGGGCTCCTTTTGCTTTAATTACTGCCTCAATTCGGCGTGGCATGGAGGTGATCAGTTTGTGGCACTGCTGAGGTGGTATGGAAGCCCAGGTTTCTTTGACAGTGGCCTTCAGCTCATCTGCATTTTTTGGTCTCTTGTTTCTCATTTTCCTCTTGACAATACCCCATAGATTCTCTATGGGGTTCAGGTCTGGTGAGTTTGCTGGCCAGTCAAGCACACCAACACCATGATCATTTAACCAACTTTTGGTGCTTTTGGAAGTGTGGGCAGGTGCCAAATCCTGCTGGAAAATGAAATCAGCATCTTCAAAAAGCTGGTCAGCAGAAGGAAGCATGAAGTGCTCCAAAATTTCTTGGTAAACGGGTGCAGTGACTTTGGTTTTCAAAAAACACAATAGACCAACACCAGCAGATGACATTGCAACCCAAATCATCACAGACTGTGGAAAATTAACACTGGACTTCAAGCAACTTGAGCTATGAGCTTCTCCACCCTTCCTCCAAACTCTAGGACCTTGGTTTCCAAATGAAATAAAAAACTTGCTCTCATCTGAAAAGAGGACGTTGGACCACTGGGCAACAGTCCAGTTCTTCTCCTTAGCCCAGGTAAGACGCCTCTGACATTGTCTGTGGTTCAGGAGTGGCTTAACAAAAGGAATACGACAACTGTAGCCAAATTCATTGACACGTCTGTGTGTGGTGGCTCTTGATACCTTGACCCCAGCCTCAGTCCATTCCTTATGAAGTTCACTCAAATTCTTGAATCCATTTTGCTTGACAATCCTCATAAGGCAGAACTCATTTTAATATTAGAAACAGTAGTAATATTACCTATAAATATATTACCTACTAATGGTATTAGTTAGCTTAAAAACACATATGCTAATATACTGTATGTGGCAACTATGTTTCTTCCAACGATTCTGAAAACAAAACAGAAAACCAAACAAAATATGTAATTTACTTGAGTTTCTGACAAAATGTTTTATTAATGCTATAGTAAATGAGTCTATTTAAAAATATTTATTAATTTTAACGAATTAGCCTAATTATGTAAAAAAAAATAATTTTAAATAAATGAAGACTTGTTTCGTTTTGAATCTCTTGAATGAATGATTCAGACATCAAATACATTTAACACTCACTGTTCGCCACCTACTGGAATAATGTAACATATACAATCATTATTTGCCAACAGTCTACAGTCTTCCCCATGATTGTGTAGCCTAGTGAACCAAACTGAGAGACCATTTTGAAGGCTCCTTTGCAGGTTGCAGGTGTTTTGAGTTGATTAGCTGATTGGCATGTCACCATATTCTAATTTGTTGAGATAGTGAATTGGTGGGTTTTTGTTAAATGTGAGCCAAAATCATCACAATTAAAAGAACCAAAGACTTAAACTACTTCAGTCTGTGTGCATTGAATTTATTTAATACACGAGTTTCACAATTTGAGTTGAATTACTGAAATAAATGAACTTTTCCACGACATTCTAATTTATTGAGATGCACCTGTATATAACTATTGCATATAGGAGAAAATAAACATGTCTGGAATGTCTGTTTCTTGTGTTGTATATGAAAGTGTTTTGTGTGGATGAAGTGACACACAGAAGATGAAATGAAGTGTATGCAGTGCACTGGACACTGTAATAATTACTCACTGTACAATATGACTGTGTCTTCAGTATGTGTGTGTGTGTGTGTGTGTGTGTGTGTGTGTCTG